CATCATCATCATCATCATCATCATCATCATCATCATCATCATCATCATCATCATCATCATCTTCATCATCATCATCATGGTATCTAAAGGCATACATCAAATTGTCCTTCCCAGGTCCCCGAGCTGACGGTTCTGTTGGAGACCTTGGGCGGTGGAGACGCGTGCCTGTCTGAACTGGCGGGATCGGTCATCGCCCGGTTGGTGGAGACTGACTCTCTAGAGCTCACCTTTGCCATCAACTCGGTGCTCAACCTGGTACCCTCTGCCAAGTAAGCTTGATTTTTTTTTTTTTAAGGGTTTTGTGTGAGTTGAGCTCCCAAATAGGCAAATTTAAAGTGGGAGTCCGCTTAAAGAGAAAACTTTGGGACTACTGGATTTTCTTCAGTTTAACCGCATTTTTTTCGGTTTAGAGAGATTGCTCGAATAGAAGACGAAACATTCAGGGATTTTATTTTCTTTCTGTTGAACGCTATTGTTTCTGTTTTTGGATTAACCGTGTTTGGTATAAGCGGACTGGACACTTGGGGTCTCTTATTTGCAAAGTGGACCACACATTATGTGGTTCTTTTATCTTTTAATTGTTGTTGTTTTGTTGCATTTGCGGTTATTAGATCGGCACCAACAGATCTTGCTAGAAGGCATTATATAACATGTCTATAGTAGAGATATCAAACCACTCCACAGAAGTTGTAGTTTACGTTAATCTTAATAAATGTGAGAGCTGCACTTGTAGTTGATATCACATCGAACTGTTAATCTTTCATGTTTAAAAAAATGATGGGGGAATTTTAAAAAACCCAACAAAGGTGGGAGTAGCGCCATGGGACTGTTGTTCAATTTGCTCATGCCCGTGTCTACAGATGGAGCCTAGGAATTTGGGTCTACTATCTCGAGGACTTTAGGAAAACAACAACGACACCATCATCATTATCATCAACAACAACGTCAACTACAACATCAACAACAACAACAATAACAACAACAACAGCAACAACTACAACAATAGCAACAACGACAGCAACAACAACAACAGCAACAACAGTATTTTTCCCTGTATAGGGCATTTGATCCTAAAGTTCATGTCTGCAACTCGTGTCGACTTAAGCTCAAATTTTGTTTCGACAATGGAGCAGAACACGTATTACCTTTTTTTGTTTTGTTTTTGTAAAGTGTTTTACGGCGCTCGCAACTGCATAGGTCGTATGAGCGCGCGGGACACACCTAATATTTTCAGTTGGTAGGAAATTTTGAATTTTGCCCGGGTGGCGGCCGAAGCCTACTCTTATCGAAT